TGTGTGTGTATAAGTATAAAAAAAATTATTGTGTAGTCCAAATTTGAGTTTCAAATTTAAAAGCTAGATAAGTAATTATTCATAATTTATGGGTCAATATTAACTTGAACGTAAATGAAATAGTTTATTATTTATAGTTTTATAAATTACTCAACTACTTAAATTTTTTGATTTGGATAGTTTATACAAAAATAAATTTATTTTAGTTAATATATATATATATTTAAATTATGATAAAATTTTGCCAAAATATTTTTCTTTTATGGAATCACATTGTTGCAAAATCGAATTTATAAATAAAAAAATTTTAAATGACACTTCTTTGGAAATGAAACTAATATAATTTATTATCACTTAGTGCACCATACAAGTTGTGTACTAATTTTAATAGACATGTTTTATGTAATTTTGCACAATTTAAATTTCATATAATATTTTTAATAAATTAATATACGTAAATTGTATTACATACTGGTTTTTTTTTTAATTTATAAATATTATTCCATGAGTATTTTTAATTTATAAGTTTTAATACATATTTCTTACCCGTGCGTCGCACAAGATTCATACTAGTTCATTTAAAAATGTCATTAATTTATAGATACTTATATATATAGTCACTATTTTTATAATTAGACATATTAAAAAAAACACAAAATATAATTGAACGGTTGGTGCATAAATAATAGAAAATTTTTATGAATTTAAAAACAGAATATAATATATATTTTACAATTCTTATATTATAAGAATTTTCATAGTTGATAAATATAAGAATTGTAGAATCATGTCTCATACATTCATATAGCCTACTGGTGGTGTTACCTCTTTAACATTCAAGGGGCCTTGAGTTCAATCTCTAATGTTGTGAGAATTGGGAGAATTAGTAAGGATTATATTTGTGGGATGGTCATGGGCTCATTGTGAGCCATGTGGTGCAAGGTGGGTCAGATGGTTGTAGCCTTCAAGTTGGATCAACACTTTTTGTTGGGAAAATTCCGTTGGTAAAATATCAGTCCGTTGGGGAAAATTTTGTTAGCAATCTGTTGGGAAAAAAACTTCTATTGGCAGTTCGTTAGAAAAATTCCCTTGGTAATCCGTTGGCAAAATATCTGTTGGTAATCTGTTGGGAAAAAAAATCGCTGGCAATCAATTGGGAAAATTTTGTTGGTAGTTGGGAAAAATTTGTTGGTAATCTGTTGGTATATTCGTAACTAATATGTTCGCTTTTTAATAGTAATTTGCCAACAGAATGATTTAGCAACTCCATTTTCTGTTGAGAATCCCTTGGCAATCTCATGAAACATTTCCGTTGCAAATTTGTTGGTAATTTGTTGGGAAAATTTCCAACGGATTGTATTTTCCGTTGGCAAAAGTTAATAACAAGCCATATAGCAACAAGAAAATCTGTTGGTAAGCCGTTGGCATTCCGTTGGGAAATTTGATTACCAACGGATTATTCCGTTGGTAAAACTCATATTTCTTGTAGTGTTATATTAATGTTATATATACATCTCGTTTGTCTCATGCCATTTGTCTAAGTTTTTTACGTGAAAAATCAGACAATCAAAGCGATACGTAAACTATGCGAAAAAATTGTGGAGAGTACTAAATTATGTGTCTTTCGATTTGGATGTGTGATTCTTAATTATGCTAAAATGTTACGCATAATCATTATCTATACGGCGTTATAGATCTTGATATGTGAGTCAAAAACTATGCAATCATTTGTGGGAAAAATTCAAAATTTAGTCCCACATGTATAGGGGGTGACATTTTTGGTCCCAACGGAATTCAGAAAATATTAATAGTCCCGCAGCTTTTATAAAATGATCAAAAATATGACTTTTTTTTGTTTTTTTTAATTTTTTGGCCCGGAAAACTTGTCGCATTATAGTAAAATATGCGGCTATGAATTCGGATATGCGATAATTATATAGGCGAAATAAAATTGCATAACAAAATTATGTAGTGAATTTAGATTTGCGTTAATATATATGACAAATTCTTGCATAATTGTTAATTATGGGGTTCAGTTGGATATGGCATCGTATGTAGATTCT